ATGTTTTTCTTCCTATATGAAATAACCTGGGTTAGCAGACTTGTTCTGCTGCTGACACTGTTGTCACTGTGTTTATAGAGGTGTTATTATTGTTCCAAAAGGGTTCTGTTTAATCCTTCTGGGAATGGAGAGAGTTGGGTGGAAAGATTTTGACTACCTTCCTCTTCCAACTGCATCCCCCTGTACTCCCCAAAGCCACTCCTGAGAGAAAGGGCACCTTTGGAAGCTATGGGATGTGGTGCAGGAGGCTGTAGCAAGGGAAGCCAGCAAAAATTATCCCTATCCCACTGTTGTATGAACTTTTCCTCTTTTTGTGGAGCTTCTGCTTTTGCAAGACAGGGAGGGGTGACATCTCTGCCCCCCCTTTACTTTAGGCCTTGCACTTTGTCCCGCGCTGTTCCTGAAAGTCTCCTGATGTTCAGGAGTAGCTGAGGGAAGTGCATAACTTCCTTGCCTGTTAATGGAAGGATTTCACCCGTTATTTATTATATTTTCTGCCTGTCATTCCTTCGTGAACATCCAGGTAGCATAAATTGGCTTTCTAGGAAGTTGCGTGCCCAGCCTCTAAACAGACCCCAGACCTGCTTAGCTCTTGTGAGGTTGCTGTATCACATGAACCCAGGGAGTATTTCTAAAGAAGCCTGAGTGAAAGTAATGTCATGAATTCTGTAACAGCAGAGCTATAAAAATGGCCCATAGGGGGAGTAGAATATAACAGACACTTTAACTGCAGGCATGTCTTTTAAAAAAAAGGTTCCAGTTAGAGCCAGCAAAAAACATCTGTTGTCTTATTTATAGCTCCCGTTTCCAAGAAGTATATTCTATAGCAGATGAAAAAGTGGATGACAGCTCATAATTCATAAAGTTACCAAAGCCTAATCTGATAGAACATCGTGTACAAAACTCCACCCCACCTCACAGACAATATTGCTTCCTTTTAACACAAGAAAGCATGGTGTTTAAACATACTGAACAGACTTCCCATTTACTGCATTTGTTAGAATAATCATTGTAGAAGTGGGGTGTCTCATTGTCTGCAAAATGCTGTCTTGGAACCCTTTGCTGTGAACATACATTTGGTTAGCAAGTTTCCAATTTGTACCATTGCCATGTTGATGATTCTTTTTCTTTTAAAATTGAGACCTCTTCTTGCATGTCATGCTTTTTAATAAAATTGTTTTTACAACAGCAGAAAGATTGGCAAGGAGTATGTTCCATGCAGTGTACCAGAACTTGCCATGGCCTGGATAGCCCAGGCGAGCCCAGTCTTGTCAAATCTCAGAAGTTAAGCAGCATTGGCCCTAGAGATGTGAAGGCCCGGGAAAAAACCCAAAAAATTCAGGGGAGGGAAACGGCCCCCCCCCCCCCGTTTTTTTCCTGAAGCCTTTTTGTTTTTTCCCAAAAAATTGGAAAAATTGAAAAAAGAAAAGAAATTGATTATGGAACGTTTTATTTTAACGTGATGAATAAAATATTTTAAGACAAGGTGTTCAAATATTTTCCAAATCATTTCTAAAATATATATATATGGTATCAGATTGATCTACTTTCTGTGCACTGAGGACAGTCCTAGATTACAAGTGCTAGATTACAAGAAGCAAGTCCTAGATTACAAACTGAACTCTCCAATGCAAGAACAAGATGCATTTCTTCCTTTAGGAGGTGCTATTGTCAGAAGAAAATAAAAAGGTTTCAGTTTTGTTTTTGCATGTGGGTGGGTATTCTGTTTGTAATAATTGTTTGGATAGACTATATTTTTAATATGCTAGTTGTGATATTTCATGCCAAGTAAAAATGTCCATAGTCATATTTTATGTTCCTAAAGTAACAGAATGACTTTCAATCTAGAAAAGACAAAAGAAATGCTAATGTAGCATTTTTTCAATTTTTCTGAAAATTTCTGTTTCCCCCCCCCCAAAAAAAAACGGGTTTTTTTCCGACCTTCAAAATTTTCGGAAATTTTACATCTCTAATTGGCCCTGGTAAATATTTGGATGGGAGACCACCAAAGAATACCAGGGTCATTACACAGAGGCAGGCAATAGCAAACTATCTCTGGACGTTTCTTGCCTTGAAAACCCTATGGGGGTGGGGTTACCATAAATCAAATCCGACTTGACAGCAAAAACAAACAAACAGACAAAACTTACCAGAGTTTTCATAATCATTTTCCAGCAAAGTCCTGGAATTCTATCCCACCTTACTGTTCTAGAAAGCTCTAGTATACCAGTGTTGTCTATGATCTACTGTATGTAGACTATAGAGAAAGGAGATAATGTGGCATGTAGTTAAATGTATGATTATACGTTTCATAGTACTCTGTCTTTTTTAAAAAATGGCTTCCTTTAGTCTAAATAAATGAATGAATGGGATTAATCTTTTAAGTTTCTGTTGGCAGAATTCCAAAATGCATGCTGTAGCATTATTACATTTGTTCTCCAAACTGTGGCTGGGTTAACCATGTAAGAAATAACCTAGTACTTTCTGAAAACAGAAAAATAACTTTTGAGCTACATTATATACAGTATTAAAAGTATAAAATAAATAGAGGCATGGTTACATCTCTGTTAAGATCCTGTAATGGTGAATGATGTTTATGAATGATTCCTTTAAAAATACACCTGTTAATATATCAATTCAGAAAAATATGTATTCGTCAGTCCTTTTTTAAAAGTGTGATGGAAATTTTTAGTCAAGACATTATACTTCTTTATTGATTTTTCTGTACTGTACAGTCTTTTCACAGAAACTTTTAACTGGAGGTTAACAGTGTCCTTAACGATTCAAATGTAACAAAATAAATAACCTGCAAGGATACAAAACAGTCAAGAGGGATTGTTTTCCATTTTAAGCTCAGAGTAGGTTTATAAAATATTGTCACATAGTGTTAAGTATAAACTATATAACCTTTATGAATGTATAATGTAAGCTTTAAAATATAATTCTAAAACTCCCTAGTACAAATGTCTACATTCTGTTCATCGGAAGCACTGTCTATAAGAAATTCTCTAGCACAAGGTGAATAGGTGTTGCACAAAAACATGCATAAGTTGCAGAAAAACATGCATAAAACAACCAGCTATCTCTCTTTTCCATCAAGATCCAGGGAAGCTGTGGAGCAGCTTAGCCAGTGTCTAGAAGGCTCTGAGAGACTGGATGAGGGTAAACAAACTAGCATTAAACACAGACAAAACAGTGGTGCTGTGGCTCAGGGGAGAAACTGAGCCTGGAATAGGTATTCAGCATGCATAGGATAGGGCTGCACCTAAAACGAGCAGAGACTCACAGTTCGGATGTACTCGTGGATTCCTAGTTGACTTGGATGCCCAGGTGATGGAGGTAGCCCAGGGGTGTGTTCTTCCAGCCTAAGGTGATATGTCAGTGGCTGCTTTTCTGGACCTCCGGTGCCATGGTCACACGTATCTTGGTAACATCCAGGTATGTGGGCTGCCTTTTCGGGTGATTTGGAAGTTTCAGCTGGTTCAGAATGCTGTGGCCAGGAGGCTTATGAGGCATCGCTCCAAGCATCACTTCTGTCTTCAGAATAGGGGGAATCTACGTAATGGCTTTCTTGGCAGCTGCTTCTGCTCTGTGGAACTCCTTCCATTCTGCAGTGTGGATGGCTCTTTCTTTCCTTAAGAGTCCATCCAGCCCCAGCTGAAAACATTTTATTCCAGAAGGCCTTTTAAAGTTAAATTTTCTCTGATATTTGTTTTCAGTGGCTGTTGATTGAGATTTTTAAATATTGATTTTGTGTGGCTTTTAAAATATTTTGCAAGCTGCTTTGCAATGTGCTTCACTTATATGCTTCACTTATTTCAGAGCACCATGCCCCTTCAGTGGTGCCAAAGGCTTGTGCTCAGAATATTTAAGCTTTTTAAGTAGGGCATTTTTTGTTCATAGAAAACAGAAAAGTAGCTAATTCTGAGAAGGTTAACATGGAAGAGAGAAGTTATTTTTCTCATTGCTGTTAATTCTGAAAACTGCTAAGGAAAGGGATGTTCAGCCCCCCTCCCCAGTTTTCAAGTGAACTGTGTGTTAAATTCTCTAGGGTCACTAATGACATGAATTGTCTTGCGTGACATAGATCTGTCTGTAGTGGGTGAATGCCAGTTCACTAACTTTCATAGTTAAGTCCATTGCTGATAAAATGGTCATTAATAGTTCCACTTGAGCTGCGGTGGCTCAAGTGGTTAAGACGCTGAACTGCAGGCTGTGGAAGGTCGGTAGTTCAGCAGTTCGAGACCCGGGTGCCGCATGATGGAGTGAGCTCCCGTCTCTGGCCCCAGGTCCTGCCAACCTAGCAGTTCGAAAGCAAGACATTGCAAGTAGATAAATAGGTACCACTTTGGTGGGAAGGGAACAGCGTTCCGT